CGGGGAGGGTGTGGGGTTCTGTCATAATATTACATTACAACTGCAGACTGAGTGAGCACACTCTGCAGGTATTTTGGAAAAGACAGCCTTGGTTGAGATAGCTCTGCTGTTAGCAAATATTCATCAAAATTAAAGAATTAAACATGAAACAAATCTGAGAGAGCTCTACCTGTGGTACTGATATGTATATTATCAAAGCAATTGGACAAAATATCACTTTTTACTAAACTGTCGACAGTCCTCGGCCCTAATGTAATTGTCGAATGCGTTTGATGGGAAATGCGAACCATTTCACGCGAAGGACTTTAGTCCCGAGAGACTGTCACTGTCTGCAGGTTTCTAGTTGATATTAATAATTCATAGTTGATGCTGACGTCACAAAATAAATTATATGCAAATTAACATAATGTATGCAAATTTATTCTAAATAACCCCTAAATGACCCCATGAATACAGATGTTCACGTTATGAACACAATGAATACAGTCACTCCCTCCAAACTATTAAATTGCCTAGAACCAAGCAAACAATGTGCATTGTTTGTGGCAGTCAAATAGAAAATATAGAAAACCAAAGACATGTGAAGAAATCAAAATTGTTATGGCAGAGACATAAATCTACTACATCTTGCCAGTTTGTATGCGTGCAGAAAATGTGGACTGAGAGCGTCGACTCTACATAAAAACATGGATGAGTTCAGGAAGAAATTTCAACAAACTAACCGAGAGTTATTGGAAATGTCCCAGGCATTTCCCTCTAAGAGAATGGCAACTGAAAGTGAGGGATCCCTGGTTTCGAAACAAGTTCTTTTTGACAAAACGAATGTCAACACGGCACGCAGACGAACACATCTCTCCCCTCTGTGTAGTTTGCGAAAGTGTCTTGCTGGTATTCTTTGCAAGAAATATCATGGTAGTCTAAGCGTTCCAGCACTTTTATAATGCATTCGTCAAGATTTGTTTGTGTCATGGTATCAAAAACTGATGTGGAAAGTGTTGCGAGCACGTATAGTATAGTCAAAACAAACTTTGCATAAGTCGTGGGTGATCCTAGTAGCCAGAGACACCTGACCCTGTTCACGTTTGGCGACAATAAAATGATAGACACTGCGCGACTATTCATTTGCATATGAAAGTACCCGGATCTGGTAAGAAATCTTACCAGTGAATTGCAGCACCGAACAGTTGGTCGGCACTCCATACTTCCTTACCCGGCGTTCGCAATTTATTCACGCCTATTACGTTTATACACAATATTTATTAATAATAACAGATTAATATTAGGTACAACTGACTGTTGTCAGTTTAACTTTTTACCAAAAATGACAAAATATTCACTAAAATTAGAGAATTAAACATATCATCATGAAATGAACAAATCTAAGTGAGGTCTACCCAAGGACATATACAATATTAAGTATCAATGCAATCAGGCATGTAGTTTTCAAGAAGAAGTCGAAAAAGTTGACAGGGGCGACAATGATGCACAATCCCTCACATGTCATAAGATAAGCTCCACTCGACAAAGTCAACAGTGGATCTAACAAAGCCATATGTGTTCAAACGTACCTTACTGTAGTCACATGGTCTTTTATTAATAAAACAAAACTGTCTATCACAAGTGCTCCTTCCCAATCCATGGTCAGGCTTAGAAACTAATCCGGATAACCTAGAAAATTAGATTTTATATAAAATCTCAAATTTTTATTTTGACCTACACATGATGAGATTATGAAGTGAAAACACAGAAGGGGAATTCTTGGTAATCACACCACATGAATTAAACATAGTCATCTCAGTTAGTGAATACCAACAATGAGATACATGTGTTCTCTGTATTTTTAGTATGTAGTATTTGTAGTACGTCAATTACAGAAGTGTGGGTATGGTCAAAATAAATATTTCAATAATAAAGTATACATTAAATACAATTTTGTTTTATATGTGCTTCTACGAGAAATACAATTTATATTTATTAAACATAATTTTATAATATTCTGATAGAAATTTTTTTAATAATTACAAATAAGCATTTATTATGTTAGAAAATACAATTACAACATCATCTGATTAAAGTTTATACATTCTTATGTGGGTGACTATTAGGTTCATCTATGCAGACAAGGATATGATCAGTGAAAGATAGAGGATATGATAGAGTTAATTACTTGAAAACATCTGTGTTGAGAGCACCTTTATTCAATCCATATTCTGTACATACTTCTTCACTTGGTGTACACTGCTCAAAATTCAACAATGTCTGTAACTGTAAGAAAAACTTATTAGTTCACTAATTTAAACATAGTTGAACTCTGGTGACCTTGCCCTTTGTTATATAATATAATTCCCTTTATCATAGTTTATTTCAATATAAATATGCATTGTCATAATTAATTTTGAATACAAACAAGTTTTGGGGTTGAACCAACAGTGGGGAATCAGTCTACCGAATGTCCTTAAAAGATGTAAATATCTTACAAAAACATTGGTGCCTTATTTGTTTAATTATTTTAAGGGACATAATTTCCAGCTTTCTTCAAAGTAATTCAGATATTTTAGTATAAAAACAAATGTCTCATTGAAAAAAAAAAAGTGCTGCATTTAGATGTGAATAGATTCATAAAACATGCAAGATAACAGAAAATTTTAGCTGGCTTTAGTCCAAGTATTTTGTACAGGTGTCTGTCAAAAATTAATGATTCACTGAGACAAATATGAACTGCCTCATTGTGTGACTACTATATTATATGAAAAGTAAAAAAAAACACCCTTT